TCATTGGAGCGTGTCTGTGACGCGCCTGAAAGCCGTCTGTCATTTGTCTGCGCCGTCTGACGCGTGCGTTGCTCTAGGCGTAATAAATGCCCTATTTTTGCCGCCGTTTCACGTTTTTGTCAAAACTTTTCCTTGCCTCTTTCTTTCTTCACTTTTTCATTCTGATTTCTTGCTCTTTCTCTCTCCGAAAGCTCTTTTTTCTTCGAATTTGCCATTGTTTCAATCTCTCTTCTGAAACTGTCTTTAGTCTTCCATTCTTGCGAAGCTTTCTTTGCTGTCACAACCGATATCTGATCTCGGCGAATATTGCCCCGGCTTCATTTGTTCTGGTAAGATTCTGTTCCTTTTACTTTTAGTTCTCTTTATGTGCTTTTGTCTGCCTGTTGTCATTATTGCTTTTGTTCAAAGCCTTGGATTTGTTTGTATCTTGAATCGTGGCTACATCTTGAACACTTGCACTATTTTACCACTTTTCTTGCCACTGTGCATGATTTTTTTACTCCTGTATTTCTTTCGTTTCTGAGAACCATACCTCTGTTCTTTGATTCTGAAGCGTCATCGTTTTCTTGTTTTTGTTTTTGTTTTTGTTTTTGTTTTTGTTTTTGTTTTTGTTTTTGTTTTTGTTTTTTTTTTGTATCTGTTCCAGATCTGTGCCTTCGATTTTGATCTTTATAGTTCTTTGGCTTGGGAGTTGTGTGTAGAATCTTCAATTTCTCAGGGAAAACTGAAACAAGCCTTGTTAGTCCTTTCCCAGGTCTTTGTCGTGGTTCTTGCAACCCTTCTTTAAACGCCCATCTTCTGAAACACATTCTTTTTTTGTTTAAGTCGACGTAATGGGTATGTGGAGGCATAGGGTAAATACCCCAACAAAACTCGAATACTTTAGGCAGGAATTCTCTATCCCAGCCGATGTTCACCTTAAGCTAGCTGGGGATGATGATACCATCATGCCCACAGACCATACGATGCCCTTTCCTATAGTAGCCTTTACTGAATGTGGACTTCGGCTTCCACTTAATCCCTTGTTTCGTGAAGTTCTTCATTTCTACAAGCTGAACCCCATGCAACTTACTATCAACTCCTATAGGGTGATTAACGGTATTATAGCTTTAGCTAGGCAGGAGAATCTTAGGATCACCCTGGCCGACCTTCAGTACTGTTATACAATGTGCCCCCTCAACCTGAAGGAAATGGGCTTTGTTTATTACCTTAAGCCGAGGTCTATCGAGTTCAAAATTGTAGCCGACCTCCCAGACTCCAACAAGGGGGCTGGGGATGACTTTGTTATTGCTTCGGGAAATTGGGAATTTGGCCCAGACGAAGATGTCCACCTCTACCCTCTTCCTCAAACAGTTAGAGAGGGCAAGGGTAAGAGCCCAGTGCCAACGCTTAGTTGTTTTTATTTAAGTCTTTAAAATTTTGTCTGTTTCTAAAGTCTGTTTGCTTGTCCTGCAGATCTTCATCAACCATCAAAAAACTTCCGTCAATCCTTTTTCCCTGGAAAAGACTTAAAGAAGCTCCTCGGTCTTCCAATCCATAAGCGCAAGGCTCCCCTGTTGTTAAACTTCATTCCGACATATAAATCCACTTTACCCGACGTCCCAAAAAGGAAGAAAAAGAGTCTTTCCAAAAAGGAAGAAAAAGAGTCTTTCCAAAAAGGAAGAAAAAGAGTCTTTCTCCTCCTACTGCCACAACTGTAACCGCATCTTCATCACGAACAGATCAAGGATCCACCTCTGACCCAGCCGATCTTCCATCCACTTCGGCCCCCTACTTAATACCAATTCCAGAACGTAAACGTCGACGAAGACTTGTAAAGACTGCCGAGATGGTTCGTCCAAGGCCTGTCGTTCAAGATCTTCTCGCCGACCTTCCAACCGACGCCGATGCTGTACCAACGCATGCGATGCCCCCACCAAAGCCGAAGAGAGTAAAAAAGGCTCAGCCCAAGGCCAAGGCTACTGACGCCGAGGTTGAGGATGCTTTGCCTATTTCTCAGCTGGCAAAAAGCAAAAAATCTTTGCTTCCACCAAGAGGTCTGCTGAGGCCCAACCCTCAGGGTCTACACAATCAAAAAAGCTGAGGTCATCATCTGCGACGACCTCGGCGTCCAAGAAGCCCGACGTTCCATGGGCCCCTCAACTAACTCTGGAGGATAGGCCTATTATGGCCAGTGAAAGTGCCGACGATATCAACGTTGGTGTCGCCCTCAGCACTGCTCTTCTCCTTCCGTAAGATTTGGAACGAAATGCTGAACTCAGTGAGTATGAGAATTACGCTCCCATGCTCCAACACTTCGTTCAAGTAAGTGTTCTTGTTTGCACTTGTGATTTTTCCTTCTGTTTCTTACTGAGAATATTTTCTAACACTTCTGTTTTTCTTCAGGCCATTCAGCATGCCCATTCATTTTCAATGCAATCTTTTGAAAATCGGCAAAGATTGGTTGATATGAAGAGGGAAGCATCTTCCCTGAAAAAAGAGATCAAATCTCTTGAATCAAGGATGAAAAAACTGGAGGATCAGGCCGAGGCGGCTACTAAGGCCCAGCAGATGGCCGAAGAGAAAGCGGAGTCTGCTGAGGCTATTCGAAAAGTAGCTGAAGCTGAGAAGAATGAGGCTGAAGTAAAAAAGGCCCAGGCTGAGAAGGAGCTCCAGCAGGCTTTGGCCACCAAGGAGGTCGAAGTCAAAAAGGCTGATGAAAAGGCCTATGCCCAGGGTATGGCCGACGTCACAGAGGATTATAAACTTCAAGTCAGGCAGGCATGCAATAGGGGATTTTCCCTTGGTTGGATGTCCCTGATAAAAAAACTTGATCTCCCTGTTGACTCGCCCTTTCGTAATGCCGATGCCATTCCTTTACCATTTCCTCCTCCAAGTCAGGTTGAAGACGAGTCAAAGCTTGAGGCTGATGCCAAGGATGAGGATGAAGAGAAGAATGATGATGAGGCCTTGGTGAGAAAACCCAAGGATGCTGCTGAAACTAAGTCCCCTCCTCCTGCTGAGCAAGTGATGGATTTAACCTTGGATGAGGAGGGTGATGAGGTTGGGGAGGCACCCAAGGAAATTGCCATCGGGCAACTATCATCCGACCTTCTTTTGGCTGAAAGAAATCTGGACAATACGCTGGCTGAGATTGATGCTGAGATAGAAGCAGAAAAGGTTGCCGAGAAGGTTCCACCAGAATCATCCGAGGTCCCAGTCCCTGCAGCTGCTAATACTGAAGAGTCTTGATTTAAAATGTCTTCTGTACTTTTTCCTTCTTTTTCTACACTTTGCACTTTGTACTCTCTTTTAATTTCTGGATAATGCAAAACTCCTTCTTATGGCCGATGTAGCTTTTTCAATATGTAATTGCAACTGTTCTTTTTATGGATGTTTTTAATCTTGTGATGTTCTGTTGATTGCTTCTGCATAGTTCTATACTTAGAAATTTTTGCATGCTTTTTCATTTTGCTTTCACAAGAGTTTGAAATATATGTTTACACAAAAAGACTTGAATCTGAGGTAGAAGAGGTGAATGGAGTTTATAGAAGATTATGATTTCAAGTTACATTATCATCGGGGAAAGGGCAATGTTGTGGGCGATGCCTTGAGTAGGAATTCCATTGGTAGTGTAGCTAGTATTGCCATTTGGGAATGGGAAATGTTGGATGCTATTTGTGAGTTTGACCTACATCTTGGCGAGTCCGTTGAGTCTGCAACCTTATTTTTGGTAGTTGCACAACCTGCCCTTGTGAGCCAAGTTATAGAAGCATAGAGGGGTGATCTTGAGGTAGAATCCCTCCGGAAGAAGATCTCTAGTGAAAAGGTAGAGAAAGGCTTGAACGTGTATTCTGACTTGAGTGCTAGATACCTTGACCGTTTTTTCGTGCCGAAGTCTTGTTGAGAGGATGTACTCCAAGAGTTTCACCATTCATGTTTTGCGGTGCGTCTGGGAGACACAAAGATGTATCACGATCTTAGTCGTCAATTTTGGTGGAAGGGGATGAAAAAGGATGTAGTCGTATTTGTGTCGAAGTGCCTTACTTGTCAACAAGTGAAGGTCGAACACCAAAGACCAGCGGGTTTGTTACAACCCTTACCGATAGCCGAGTGGAAATAGGAGCGTGTTACCATGGATTTTGTAGTTGGGCTTCCCAGAACACAACAAGGCAATGACGCTGTTTGGGTGATTGTTGATAGGTTGACTAAGTCTACCCATTTCATTCCGATGTGCACCAGCGACTCTGTTGAACGCTTGACAGAGTTGTACATTAGAGAGATAGTTTGACTTCATGGAGTCCCTGTGACTATTATGTCAGATAGGGATCCTCGTTTTACTACCCGGTTATGGCAAAGCCTTCAAGAGGCGTTGGGAACTAAGTTGACTCTTAGCACCGCTTATCATCCTCAAACCGATGTACAGTCGGAATGTACCATTTAGATTTTGGAGGACATGCTTAGAGCTTATGTCCTTGATTTTAAGGGGCCTTGGGAAAGGCACTTACCATTGATTAAGTTTGCTTACAACAATAGTTACCAAGCTAGTATTGGGATGGCACCATTTGAGGCCTTGCATGAATGACCTTATAGATCACCGGTTTGTTGGGCCGAAGTGGGTGATACACCATTACTGGGTCTGGAAATTGTTAGAGAGACAATTGAGAAAGTTGTTCTCATTCAGAAGATGTTAGCTACGGCCCAAAGCTGACAAAAGAGTTATGCCGATAAGAGGAGACGACCTTTATCTTTTGAAGTTGGTGACCATGTGTTTCTAAAAATCTCACCAAGGTAGGGTTTGATGAGATTTGGTAAGAGTGGCAAATTATCTCCAAGGTTCATTGGGCCTTTTGAGATCTTAGAGCGAATTGGGAAAGTGGCATACCGGTCAGCTTTACCGCTACAACTTTTAGGAGTTCACAACGTATTTCATGTATCTATGCTTAAGAAATATGAAACCTACCCTTCTCATGTTCTTGATTGGGTTGACTTGGAGGTAGATGAGGATGCCTCTTACGAAGAATGACCAGTTCAAATATTAGATACCTGGAAGCAAGTGCTACGGGGCAAAACTATACCATTGGTAAAGGTGTTGTGGAGACACCATAGAGTTGAACAAGTGACATAGGAACGGGAGGCGGAAGTTCGCTCCAAATATCCGGATTTGTTTGAAAATTCTTAAGCTGCTTTTCTTTGTAATATTCCCTAGTGTTAAGGGAAACGTATTTAAAGTTGTTAACCACATGTTAATGTGTGCGTTGTTGTTTTAAGCATAAGGTTGCTGAGAGTTGCCATTACTTTTTAAGAAATTTCATGTTTATGCGTATTTGGGAGGTTGTTGTTAATGAGATAACTATGGTAGAAATGGTGGAATTTGGTTGAGAGTTAGTATTGTGATTTGAAAATGAAATAGCGTGGTTTTGATCACTAGAAACCCCTTTGTTTTAGTGGTTTGATTTGAAATTTCAAGGACAAAATTCTTTAAGGGGGAAGGTTGTAGCGATCTCGATTTCGACATTTCTTTCATGTTTTGCCACTTCGACTAGGCAGGTCGAGGATCGAGCTGCCCGGTCAGCTCGCGGGGGTCGAGGGGGCAGCGCCCCTTGGCGGGTCCGAGGGCAGTGCCCTGGCAGGGTCGAGGGACAGCACCCTTGAAGCAAAAATCCAAAATGCATTCGAAGTTGCTTGTCCGCTTGAGAGGAGAATGTTTGGTTCCAGAAGTTTGACCTATCTGCAAAAGTACTGGGAAGGTGTATTCGATGCTCGAGCGGGGCTTTTCACGCTTGAGCAAACCATGTTATATCAGTTCGTGAATCTGATATTTCAGGTCACTTTTGTATATATCTCTCTCTAAAAACATTTTCTCTCCATTCTCTTTACATTTCCCTACGCTAAATTGGATCAAAACCTTTGGAGTTCTGCCATAGGTTCTTCATCAAAGTTGGTTAACTTCTCGAGGGCTTCGTTGTATGCAGTGAAGATCGAGTTTTGACATCGTTGATTTTGGGGGTTTTATCTTATTTCTTCTTCGAAACTTGAGGTAGGGATTTTCTTAGAGTTATATATATATTTTTGCAAGATCTAGATAATTTTCGAAATCATCTTTCAATAGCTTTGAAATTGATTATTAATTCAAGAAGTTGAGTGATTTTTAAAGTGGGTTTGTCTCTTGTTCTTTTAAAATGATCTTATGGGTTTTGATCTTCGTTGTTTGAAGAAAAGATGATTTTGGAAAGTTTTGTTTCAAAAGATTTGAGTTGTATAGTTTTGGTGAGAAAACCTAGAATTTGAGAATTTTTTTAAAATAGGACTGAAAATCCATGAATGATATTGTTATATTTATTTTGTGTATCAAAATAAATGGATGTTTGGAAAATTTCTTATTTATATTTATATAAATGATGAATTTCACGGAATATGAGAATTGTTGTTCATTTTGGAAATTATTGCTCAAAACGTTGAAATAGTCTTGAAATGACTAATTGTTGAGGATACTTGAGAAGAGGGAATTGTGTTATTCCTTGAATGGTGAATTGGAATAAAAGTATTTATATTCATCTTGTGTTATTGGTATATCAATTCATTTGATTACATTAAACTTTGAAAGTTGATTTGAAAACTTGCATTGAGAAAAAAATGATGAGAAACAAGTTTCCATGAATTGGTTTTGGGGTAAATACGGCGGTAAGTCTTGACAGGTGGTGTAGATGAAATTGAATAATTGTCGAGCCTTCCAGTTAATACTGGTAAAAATGACAGATTATAGGTGTCGAGCCTTCCAGTCAATGCTGGTAAAAATGATAAATTGGTAGTACTTGTATAGTCTACCTACAGACACCAACCTAGGGATTACCAGAGTCGTATTTACCGCTTTTGAAATGAATTGTTAAGTTTTGAAGAATTGAAATTGCATGACATCATTGAGCATGATGGTTTTCAAAGATGAAGGTGTGATTTTCTTTTAAAAGGGCATACCATGGCATGTGCATTTCATCTCTTAAGACTTGTATAAAATGTATATACTTTGTTAAGGATTTTCTGCTGGGCTTTATGCTCACTCTACGGGATTTTTGTGCAGGAAAAGATGTGGTGATGCCGCCTAACTAGAGGCAAGGAAATGTGTGTTGAGAGTACGGGACTCTCATTTTGTTGTGACTCTGTGTGTAAGCCAAGGGCTGTATATGTGTGGGTTTGAATAACTGTTTTGTGTAACCAGGCTCAAGCCTTAGAAACTTGTAAACCCCTTGGGGATATTTATTTGTTTATTTACTTGTTGTTGGATTAATGTATTGTTGCATGAAGAACTATTGTATCATGTAATGTAAGTTTGGAGATTTATATTCGGTTTTCCTTGAAAGAGCCATGATTGTTGTATTACCATTTGGGCTAGAAATTTGGGGCGTTACACTTTGGCCTAATCATTCATATCAGACGACCTTTGGCCTAATCATTCATATTTATGTGCATTTCATACTTGAGCTTGTAAGCGTGTCGTAATCATAATCGTATTCCAACTGCCTTATTCAATCATTAGCATAACGAATGTTCGATTCAAATTAACAAATTCGTAGAACTCATACAGAAGTGAGCATTTGGAAAGTAGCATACTTCAATACATTCTTACTAAGATATTACTCAAAATGTTCTGCGGGTGGGTTTACCCTTGCGCTTGACCCTACACATTACATAACAAATTAGGTCACAAGCGATTCAATCCGTTCTTAATTTATTTATTTCTCTTAGGCCTCTTTCTTATCTTTTTAGTTCATTACAATGCTCAATGCATGCCCAAGAGTGCTTAAGAATGAAAGAGAACGGAAAACGAAACACAAAATAACTTTTCAAAATTCCTAAAGCAGGGCTCTCTGCTCAAGTACAGCTTTGGTCGCTCGAGTGGACCCCTTAGGTCTGCAAAAGTACTGGTTGCATGTAATTCACGCTTGAGCGATATTCTCGACGCTTGAGCGGGGAGTCTTCGCAATTGCTGCTCGAGCCACCATGCAATTTCTGCAAAACTTCTGGGAGCCAAATTTTCACGCTTGAACGAGACTTTCCTCGCTCGAGCGGATTTGTCAAATTCTGGGTTTTCCAGGTTTCTGTTTGAACTTCAAAACACAACCCCAAAGGTTCCAAAGTTTGTAAACATGAAAAACATTGTGTAACATGAAAACTTAAATAATTGAAACCAATTGTACCAAAATCATGGTCCATTTCCAAAATCATTCCAAATTCTTTGCCAATTTCAAGACTCA